AGGGCCCAAAATCCACACGTGCCCCCAGCCCAGCCAGTCCTTAGCGGAGGGAACGTTCCCATTTATTTTCCTGGATGTGCTGCAGAAAGGACTTCCTGCCACAGCTCTGGAGATTTCCTATGCTCCCCCCAGGCTGTAAATCTCCTTGTCCTGGGAACCACAAGCGCCACGGTGATGCCTGGCAGGGAAGCCACAGCTTCCACTTGCTGTGTACACCCACCCAAACATCGCAGGGACAACACAGCAGCCTCCCTCCCAGCCAGGAGTTAGCCCAAGGCACCAGCCCACCCCCCACAGCTCCCCTGGCCCACAGCTGACCCCCCGGCACAGCCCCCTGGCACAGCCCCACAGGGAGCCCGGTGAGGATGCAGAAAGCCCAGCACCCATCCCACCACATGCTGGCATCCACGGCATTGCTACGAGGCACGTCCTGCCCACTTTGTGGGTGCCTGGGCAGCTAGGAGGACCTCAAAGTGTCCAAGACAGGCCCCAGGGGTAACAGGGTGAGTGCAGGTTTACGTCCTTGCCTGGTCTTACAAAAAGAGCCACGCGAGGGACCGGCACACGACACGAGGGCTGGAGCTGCTGATGGAGGTAGGATTTTAACGCCGTTAATTCAGCAAAGCGGCTGTGTGACACGGTAAAAGTCCTGCCAGCTTGGAGTGGTTGGTTAGCCATAAAGCACTTGTCTTAACGTTTGTTAGGTGAGAACTAGAGGGATGGACAGACAGCCGTACGACCCCGCTGGCTTTTGTAGCCCTGGTTCCCACGGCAAGAGCTTGAGCAGAGCTTTCCAAGCGGAGCTGCCTCGCATTCCAAGGAAACAAGTCACTCCTTGCAAGACAAACACACCGAAGCTCCATCCCAACATGGTTTTTCTTTTTATTTATAATACTTTGTTTGGACCCAGGGGAAAAAAAACCCCACAAAACCCAAAACTCAACCCAAAAGAGAGGGACGAGCATCTCACCTGGCCCAGCAGCCTCCCCTCCCCACGGAGGAGCTGACCCAGCAGCACAGGCTGCTCTGGGGAGACATCCGATGCAGTACTTGTGTTTAACATGTTAAAATGATACTTGGGGTCTTCTCCAGGCCCTCTCTCCCCTCCCACCCCAAATACCGATAAATGTTAGAGCATGCAAAACCCTGATCCCATCCTGCCCAGGAGATGCGCTCGCCCAGCCAGCCCTGGTGCTGGAGAGCCCCCCCAGACCCTGTGCTCTAAAAGCTCCCCTTCGAACCCCCAAGGCATTTTGGGGGAAGAGAAGGGGGGTTATTGCGGAGCATCTCTGTCCTCCCCGCCGTGCCTCGCTGCGGGTTTAGGTCTTGCCGGCGGTGTGCTGCTGCAGAGCAGAAGTGATGGCTTTACAGTCTGTCACCTCCTCTGGCAAGCAGCCCTCCTGGTCCCGGAGTGTAGGGTCCGCTCCCAACTTCAGCAACAGCTCCACGATATCCAAAAACTCACAGGCAGCAGCTGGAGGGAGAAAGGGAAGGGTTAGTCTGGGGATCCTGACCCAAGGCAGCAGTGATGGGCGTTTCTGGAGTGTCGCTCTAGCTGGCAACTCCCCACGTGTGTGCCAGAGGCAGGAAATGCCGTCTCAGCACCTGGCCAGGCGGAGCAGATAATTTTTTCAGGGTGGTGTTCAATGCATTACTTGCCTTTGGATTTAATAGTGCAAAGGAAAGAGAAAGGACAGAGTGAAAGCACTGAAAAGCTGGCAGTACTGAGGAGGTGTCACCACTGCAACCATCACCCCAGAGCCTGCAGCCTGGCCACAGCGCTGCCAGGAGCCGGGTGGTTTGCAGGGCATCCCCTGGGATGATGCACGGGGTGCCTGGCCGCAGTTTGGTTCATACTCCAGGACTGGAGATGGCCCCAGGAAGGGCCCCAGAGTGCTACTGCAGCACCGCAGAGAGCCCCGAAGTGCCTCCTGGGAAAACCTTCCCTGCCTGCACAGAATGTTGAAGGTGTTTATAATTTATAACACATTTGTAAAGCCCTGCCCCTCACCTGCCTCCTGGAGCCCCCAGGGCTCCCCAGGCAACATGTCGCAGGCAGAACATCATCGGTACTGCCTCGCTCCCTGCTTTCATCCATCAGTTCTCCTTGTGGAAAATTCAGATGGTTTTTAGCTGCTGGACAGAACTTCCCCGAGCACCAGCTCCCGGAGCGTGTGCCTGTGCCCACGGACAGCCGGTAACGGCAAACCACAGTTATTTCTAACCCATACCTCCACTGGCAACTGTTTTTTCAACCCTGATTTACTCTGCCAAGACAGAATCAGTTTGATCTGAGCTCTTCCCTGTCCTGAGGACAGCCTGGCACCTTTCAGTTCCCCCTCGAACCTCACCTAAGGATGTTAAAAAAAAAAACAAACAGGAAAATCAGGAAAACTTAATGCTGAAGAGCCAGACTTGGCTGATACTGGCCAAAGTCCCAGTCCCTGGATTTTCCCTTAAGCCTGTGCAACACAGAGCCTCGTGGAGCTGAAAACTGCCTCAGCCCCCATCTGCCTTATGAGACCGCGAGCCTGGCAGCTTCCTCTTGCATTGGTAGCGACCGGTTTTAATTATATTTCAGGTGCTTTTACAATGTAACCGACTAACTCTTTTTTTTGCAGTTAAATGTAGTAATTATAGTGTCTTCTGCATTACTCTGCAGTTTTCTACTGACCCGAAGGGACAAGTGGCAATGATTAATTAAAATAAATTTGACATGTGATTGGAGCTTATACTGAAAAAGGGAAAGAAGGGGGAAGGAGTTGGTCAGGAAGCTGGGGGGTGTCGGTGAGGTTGAGCTGAAGGGGCTGGGGACCACTTCCCAGGGTGAAGGCACAGCACCCATGCAGAAAGCAGATTCCAGGGGTGCCAAGGAAGCTGCAGCGGCAGCTCCTGGGGATGGGGAGCTGGTGCCTGCATGGGGAAAGGCAGTTTCCTCATCCGGTGGGGCTGGCAGGCACAGCCCGTGTCCCCGAGCGGGCCAGCGACATCCCTGGGGTGGAGCACAGCTGCTGGATTTATTGCACCCCAGGACCCTTGATTTGTCAAGGGCCGGAGCGGCAGCCCTGACATTGGCACGGGTGAAGATGAATTTCCATTCAGCACAGTTCGCCTTCCGACCCCATTAATTCTCAGGGTTCAGATGATGAATTTATTTTTTTTTTTTTTTTTTTTTTTTTTTTAATTATTTATTTTCCTTCCAGCGTCCCCTCCCACTGCCCTGCCACACAGCACAGAAAGAGCCGAACAGATGGTGCTTTGCAGGGAAGCCGGAGCGCCCATGAGGATACAGAACCTGCCCACCCCGCGGCCACGTGGCCACCAGCGCTTGGAGAAGCCTTGATTTCCTCTGGGAGAGGCAGTGGCAATGATTTTAGTATTCCCGGCGGGTGGCGGATGGATGGATGGATGGATGGATGGAGAGGAGCCAAAGACTAACAGGCCATTTAGCGGGGAGACCGTGCTCGTACTGACCGGCAGGGCACCGACTGCTGCCTCCAGCCTGGGGGACAGCCGAGGGTCCCACGGCCGGTCCCACTGGTGAGCCAGTGCCTTTGGATCGTGCTGCTGGCTGGCCTCTGCTTAACCTCCGATTAAAGCCAGGGTCGGCGCCGATCGGAAGGGGGCAGGATTTATAACCCGCAGCAGGGTGCAGT